TTTGACAAAAAAAGTTACAGACAGGTTAGTAAAATTATCCTTGTTTATATTTATGTTGTTTTTAGGGCTAGTTTCTTTCTGCTTTTTAAAATACGACGGATATGTTTTTGTGTGTAGTTCAATCAGTTCAAACTCCTTGCCAACCTTAAGCCCCGTTTACACTACGCTCAATTCTTGGTACGGCACGGATAAAATTGGTACCCGTACCACTTTTTTGGTTCTTTGACTACCTATTTAGCTAAGCCTCGTTTACACTACGCTTAATTTTTGGTAACGTACCACTTTTTGGTTCTTGGACTACCTAAGTAGGTAGTCCAAGAACCAAGAAAGTGGTACGGGTACCAATTTTATCCGTGCCGTACCAAAAATTGAGCGTAGTGTAAACGGGGCTTTAGGTATACTTTATATTACGTCAGTCCGCCGATAATGCAATCGAGTGGCGATTTAATATAAGCTACATTTCGCAATATATTTCGCTAATTTGTGATTATTTTCGTTAAATTTTATAATTTCACTGCAGTTTTAATTTAAATTCGTCGTTTAGTGGGCTGCCTATGATCAGTTGAGCTTCCTGGCAAACTGTGCTCATTCAAATGAAGACACTGTCATGCATACTTATATTTAAAAATTTTATATCCTAGCTGATCAATTTCCCGAGCGGTATTTCAATTCCCAGCAAGACGAACATGCTGTACCTGGTCATCATAATTGCCTTCATCGCAAAAACCCAAGCTGTTATTATTAAACACGAGCACCACAACTATCAAGCGATGACAAATGTCCTTAAAGCAATCCACAAACAATGGCCACACATTACAAACTTGTACACGATTGGCAAGTCCATTGAGAATCGTGAACTATGGGTGCTGGAAATTTCCGATAATCCAGGACGGCACGAGAAGGGAGAGCCAGAATTTAAATACGTTGGAAACATGCATGGAAACGAGGTCGTCAGCCGAGAGATTCTACTCCACCTTGCCTATTACCTTTGCAGCCAATACGACTCAAATTATGAAGTCGGAAATTTAGTCGATTCCACACGCATACATATCCTACCAAGCATGAATCCAGATGGGCGGGAAGGCTCGAAAGTTGATTGCAACGGTATTGTTGGTCGGAGCAATAAAAATGGGTGCGATCTCAATAGAAATTTTCCTGATCTATTAAACCCTAGAATTAGCGGGAAATGTACAAAACCAGAAAAAGAAACCAAGGCTGTAATGAAATGGATCTCTTCAATACCATTCGTTCTCTCGGCTGGTCTGCATAGTGGCACTACGGTTGTTAATTATCCTTACGATAGCATTAAGGGAAAGCCGACCATAAACAAATACAGCAAGTCACCGGACGATGACGTGTTCCGACAAGTGTCTAAAGCGTACGCATATGCTCATCCGACAATGCATAAAGGGAGACCAAATTGCACAAGCTGGCCAGCTAATTATTTCAAAGATGGTATAACCAACGGTGCGCAATGGTATGCAATACAAGGTGGTATGCAAGATTACAATTATTTTACAAGGTATATATAGGAAACATTTTTTCCCATACTGAGGAAGAGGAGGGGGGGGGGTATTCCCTTTTCATTTCGTAAAATGTCGCTTAACTTTGAATGAGTTTTTAGTTTTTTCCCTTTCTTTTATTAAAGCAATTGCTTTGACGTCACGGTGGAATTAAGTTGCTGCAAATTTCCAATGGCGAGCAAACTTCAAAAGGAATGGAAGGATCAGAAGCCAGCATTGATAGCGTACATGAAACAGGTCCACAAGGGGATCAAAGGTGTTATTACGGATCGTTGTGGTAGCGGTATTGCTGGTGCTGAAATCAGAGTTAACAAAAGGGAGAAATCCATTTTCAGTGGTAAGAGTTTTGGCCGTACCGCACACAGCAACACCACACCCAATCTAAGAGAGTGTTTCAGGGATTTACAAACTCGAAGGGAGTGTGCTGATGCCCCAAGGAGTCTTTCTGTAAAAATCTGTAAATGATTGATGAAAACTTAACGCGGGAAGAGCACGTAAATTATGTATCCAAAAAGGTATCCAAAGGCCTAGGAATGTTAAGACGTATTCGTGATCTGTAACAGTAACACGCTAGTTGACATATATATACTCGTCTATCATTCTCCCCCATTTTGATTATTGTAGTTTTGTGTGGGATGATTGCAGAAAAGGTTTACGGAATCAGCTACAAAAATTACAAAATCGAACAGCTTGAATAATTACAAGGAACACCTATGAAATACGCTCTTCCCAAATTTTGAATGACTTAAATTGGCCAACATGTACACCAGAAGATTGACGAATGAGACAAAAATCTTGTCTAATGTTCAAAATATTCCACAAATTAAACCATTTAATCCAGCGAATTTAATTCACAGTCATGACTACAATTTTGTTATCCCTAAACCAACTGACCAATTTTTTGAAAAATAATGGAACAGTGGTATGGAATTCGGTACCAATTGAAATTAGGAATTCCACATCACTAAAAATATTCAAAAACAAACTGTAGAAATAATTTATGTATTATACATAGTTTAATGTATCATTTTCTTGTAAATAATTCAAATGTCACGGCGCCTGGCCATGGGAAGATCCAGGGACGTCGCGAAGCCATCAACATTCGGGGTGTCGTCATGTTTTGACCAACATTTCCTACTGGATTTTGACAAAGTCGAAAAAAATTTTCCGGACTAACACTAAGCATTGTCAAAAAAAATTTTCCGGAACAACATAAACAAATTCAAAATTTTTCGACAGAAATGAGCAAATTTTCCATTTTTTTCATCGCAAACGTAACGAAAGCTTTAAAATTGTTAAAATTGCGAATTTTGGGCAACTTCGACCATCTTTTATCCCAAACTTTTACCAAATTTTTCCCAGTTTTATCTTCAATTTTAAGCAAATATCAGTTCCATTTTGACCAACTTTGGGCAAATGTCACTTCCATTTTGACCAACTTTCACCAACGTTTGAAGGGTACGCTTCCACCCACACACCCCAATAGCGACGTCCCTGGGAAAATCATCTCATTTTCGATCACAAGCCTCCGTGCTTAATAAATAAAGTAAAAAAATATCTTTAGATAAAATTCCTAAAAGTCGTGTTTGACAATATTTTTGCACTTCTAGCCAAATTCGGTGATTACTGGAGATTGCTGGTTAAAGGTGAATATACCATTCAAATATCAGCGAAAGGATATAAAAATGCACGGCGGAAATCTGTTCAAGTATCTGAACAGGTCAAAATTGTCAATTTTATACTTTACAAGAGTACAGGTGAGTGAAATAGGAAACTTGTCAACTTAATTGTTGTTTGGAACGGACATGTATTACATGTCTATAGATAGAAATTGGTCATCAGCATGGCCTCTCTTTCAAACTAAATTTGCAAGGAAAGAACATTTAATTGAAGGTAAATTAAAAGCCATTTTCAAAGTTGGCATAATTGAACTGAAAATTAAGATATACCCTATCCAGTCCTATAGTTTTCAGATGAGTGCCCTACTTCACACCCGTGTCACTTTATACTCAATGGGTAACAACCAGGATTTCTCAATTGAGAAATATAGGGGCGATACTCAACAAGGATGATCATCTGAATCATCTAATAGTGCCTTAATTTGAACCCTAACCATAATCTAACCCTGATCTGATCCTAATCTATAACCCTAACCTTGGTCTAAACCTGACGACAAATATTATATAGGCAAGACATTTAAGCGAGTAGTATGATTTTCGAAGCTTGACAGTAAAAATGTGGAATGGAAAATGAGGGAAAAGCACACATACCGCCAGCTGGTGCTTAATGGGCAGAGAAGCAAAGAAGGATATGGATGTGGATTGTGAGCTAAGATCAATGAAAATGGGTAAACCGTTCATAATCATAATTTACATTTCAGATAATACCTATTCGCCTTGTGGTACAATAAGTGGTCATGTGAATATAGCCCAACCAGAATCAGTTGAAGTGATCTGCGTTGCAAGTGACAACAGAAAGTTTACAAGTAAGTTTTTATTATGCATCTGCATGTAATATCGATATTCTTCGAACCGTATTGAATTTATAAAGTGTGCACATCCGACATGTCTGAAACATGATTGGACTGCATGCGGGCGCAAGATATCAGACTAGCTAAAGATTAGTGTCGGAGTCAATCTATGTTAGCCATGGGTATAGTTTGGGGTCTTCTGCATGGTATCTCTATTACCAAATGCATTCTGAAAAGTAAATTCTCGAGTGCAGCATGGCTGTTTTTTAAACTGACCACTTTGGACATGGCTTGCATGCAAAAACTTAAGGTTTAAAACTCAATTTGAATTCACAGGGTGCAAATTTGGAAGGTGTTCTGGGAACCATTATACATGCAGTACCAGACAATTTGATGTATGTTAAGTCCAATGCGGCAATGCGCGAGACCTCCAAAACTTTTGCCATAGGCTTAGCCATATAGTGGCCCACGCATGATTTCCCAGCAAACGAATTAACGACTGATTATAGTATGATTGATTTAAAAAGTTTAAAAATAACTCGTGAAAGGCTACTGTGGCAAAAAAGTCCGAGTTGTATAGAAATCACGCGTCTGCATGGTACTTTGATACTTCATAAAACACGTTCCGGCCAAATTTGCACCCGGCTCAATGAATTCCAAATTGCGTTTCAAACCTTCCATTTTTGCGCAAGCCAGTTTTATACTGGTTTCGAAAAACAGTCCTGCTGCATTCGAAACTAATTTATCTTTCAGAATAATTTGGTGATAGAGATACCAGAAGACCGGTCCCATACTACTCATATAGGCTAACATAAAGTTGTCACAAATTTTGTGGAATTTTCAGTTTAGCGGACATTTAATTTAAAACTGTATACACCCTGCATTTTTCGCACGTAGCTGCTTCTGGTTATAGGTATACATTTATAATGTATAAATTTACACTCGATCTACAAAATTCACGGCCCAGCTTCAACATTTGTCCAATATATCAGTCAGAGTTTTAGAAAGTTGGGAGGATTTAATTTGTAAACATCGCATATCCTCGTTACCTATTTTAGTATTTTTGGTATTACTTAAATACAATTTTCGTTCCGGATTCTATTGAGTATTGTAACACCTAATATAATTATATATATGCTCTATTTCAGCCTACCCAAACAGTATTGGTTTCTACATTTACAGCGTCGTTCCGGGAAACTATGTTCTCTGGGTAAAATCTGGCAATGCAGTTATTTTTGAAAAACAAAATGTCGCTGTCCTTCCTGGACAAAGCTACGATGTATCATTCACATCTGCTAAACGGCTCAATTAAGGCTTATACACGCAGCCATATAGTATAGAACACAGAAACTTTCTTATATAAAGCTTTTTGTAATATTATATTTATAACATTCTTGTTTGTCATGCATGTACTGATTGTTTGCAACTTATGGTACTTATAGGCACTGTTGTAAAAATTACCTAAAAAAAGATAATTATAAAAAATTATATTACAATTACTTCTTCGAAAAGGTATTTATTACAAATTACTTCCTTCAAAAGTTATTAATTACGAATTATTTGTTGAAAAGCAATTACTTACTAATGGACATTTCCCCTTATAACTAAAATTTTGATCTAGACAAGTCTAGACAAAAATTTCATCACAGCTTGAAAGAGCATCACAAAATTAGTAATATTCCAAACATTCATTGCGAAATGTTGTAAAATGCGGATAATATAGCCCTGCGAAATTTGCAATTTTCAGTCATTTTGTATTACAAACGGGAAATTGATGCCGCAACACCCGATTGGGCTGTCAATTTCCATGCGTAATACAAAATGACTGAAAATTGCAAATTGCGCAAGACTATATTATCTGCATTTTTATACAACATTTCGCAACGAAACTTTGGAATATTACTAATTTTGCGATGCTCTTTCAAGCTGTGATGAAATTTTTGTCCAGATCAAAATTTAAATTTTAGTTATAAGGGGAAAGGTCCATTACTTGTCAGGTTACTTTTTACTTAGACGCTAATAAGAGTGAATTGCTACAATATCAAATGCACTTAAAGCAACATACAGAACAAGTGGTTTGTAGTTCAACATGTAATTGAGATGACCATCGCATGCAGTCGCAATGACCATGCAGTCGCATTACCTGCATGCAGTCGCATGACCATGCAGTCGCAATGACAATGCAGTCGCATGACCATGCAGTCGCACGACCATGCAGTCGCAATGACCATCGCATGCAGTCGCATGACCATGTATAGTCGCAGGACCTTCGACAGACATTCGATTTCAAAACCCCCTTCAGAGGACCCTCTTTAAAACCGCCAATATCAGGAATGTCAGTACTTCACTCTGAATGTTATATAAATATATCGATCATGCTAGTTGTGCTTTTTCGTTAAAAAAGTGCCAAAAATATGCTTGTTTTCCCTAATTATGCCCAAAAATGTGCTAGCACAATCGTCCATCAACGGCATCGAGAAAAAGCGGAAAATTAAGGAATTTTAGAGCCCGTACCAAGGAATGTGCATGATCAATTTCGTAACAATTTAATTATAGCAGTTAATTTACATGTTTTCAAGTACGCAATTTAAAAATATAAAGAAACTATTTGTGAAGTGAAAGAATATTTTATTGCTCATATCAGAGGCTCAGAAATCCCGATTGCTGGTGAAAGGAAATAGTAGGTATGTATTAATATGTTTTTTTTTTAACAAAGAGCTGTAAGATTATTTGATACTTGAACATTCTTGAACATAGTTTTGACAGATTTGTCATCTGCTTGAACATTCGATCAATTCGAATCATTCTAAATGCCTTGAGGACATATTATTGCCAGATGCTTTTGTGATCAAATATCCATATTTCAGCCATATTAAAATACGACTTCCTGACAATAGGCTAAATACAACTGAACTGTACAAGCACAGCAGCAGGAATTCCTCCGTGGATGAAACGCAGCTAACTCAGGTAAAAATGTTGTAAATATGAATGACGAGTTGTTGTCGTTGATATATTAAAATGGTAGATATAAACAATCCAATTACTGCAAATATAATGCAGGCAATATAATGGCAAATACGAGACCCTATTAGTGTAAATTCTAACAGAGAACATCCATTGAAATGGCCGCATGTACAGAATAAAATATTAATGACATATGACATGAAATTTGATGAAAATGTGACAGCAAAATGAAGTACAGTACAGAACAATGGTGATTTTCAAAGCAACGCGTACGTGCAATGTTCTGACAATGTGACAGTGCTATTATTAAACCTTTTTATAGAGTGTCTATAAATTGATAGTGTGCAGTGGTAGCCCCAATATATGTCCAGAGGCTACAATTTAATACTTAGTATTACATGTAATAGAAGACTATATATATATTAAAAACATGTTACCCCTACAGTATTTGCTACACCAGAGAAAAGGTCAAATTGGGTTCGTTCTGGTCAGGCTCTATTGGAGACCAGTTATTTGAATGCAAAGAGTAAATTTGCACGGACTACAATAAATTGCATCCTACACAATTATTTCACATGTCTTATACTTATGACAATTATTGCACTTAACCCTTTTGAGTGCCAGCACACTCTCCCCTTGACAAGTAAACTAGAGCACAATGCAACTCAATGGGTTAATTATTTTACTAATCTTCCTGATGAAAGGCCTAATTTGCTGGAACTGCTTACATTTTTTAGATAGTTGTATATATCTTTTAAACTGCAGCTTTCAATTATTTCACTTGCATATTTTCAGAGAGAAATTACTCAAATAATGAACTGCCATAATATCCAAGCAGATCAGCCATATCAATGTTTTGCTTAATGAAAAATGGCCTATTATTGGCTGACTGTTATATTGCACACATACTGCTTGAAAGCTCTTGGGGAAGTAGCTAATTCAAAAATAGTAAAATTATAATTAACCCATTGAGCACCAACATTCTCACCTTGATGAGTAAAATTGTCTGCATGGCTTTATAGCTAGACAGCGAGGGTGATAAATTTGGGCATGCATCAGGGCACATCGCCACTTAAAGGGTTAAAAGAATGTATGAATAAATATATAGTTGACTGTATAAGCTTCGAAGGTGTGGAATACATGTTATAATAATTACAATTTGTTTTATGATTTAGAATGTTCAGTACTCGAGTTGTTTCCTACCTCGAACAGCAATTGCCACAGTTTAAAAGACTGTGTTTTAGCAGTTATTTAACAAACTTATGGATATTTTGACTTTGCATTCTAGCTAACTAATTTCCCATAACATGCATTTCAGAGGGAAATTTCCTAGCAAAATAAACATGCTGACATTGGTCTTAATAATTGCATTCATCGCCAATGCCCAAGGTGTCATTATTAAATATGAGCACCACAACTATCAAGCGATGACAAAAATCCTTAAAGCAATCCACAAACAATGGCCACACATTACAAACTTGTACACGATTGGCAAATCCATTGAGAATCGTGAACTATGGGTGCTGGAAATTTCCGATAATCCGGGGCGGCACGAGAAGGGAGAGCCAGAATTTAAATATGTTGCGAACATGCACGGAAATGAGGTCCTCGGCCGAGAGCTTTTACTCCACCTTGCCTATTACCTATGCAGTCAATACGACTCAAATCATGATGTCAAAAATTTGGTTGATTCCACACGCATACACATCCTACCAAGCATGAACCCAGACGGATGGGAAATCGCAATTGCTAATACTTGCACTGGCGTCGTTGGTCGGACCAATAAGAATGGGTGTGACCTGAATAGAAACTTTCCTGATTTATTAAATCCAAGAAGAACTGACGGGAATTGTAGAAAACCAGAAAAAGAAACCAAGGCTGTAATGAAATGGATCTCTTCAATACCATTTGTTCTCTCGGCTAATCTGCATGGTGGCACAGTAGTCGCTAATTATCCTTACGATAGCATTAAGGGAAGTCCAGGCACACATTTATACAGCAAGTCACCGGATGATGATATGTTTCGTCAAGTGGCTAAAGCATATGCCTATGCTCATCCAACAATGTACAGAGGGAAGCCAAAGTGTCGATTCTACCCTTTTGATGATTTCAAAGATGGTATAACCAATGGTGCTGACTGGTATGCATTGCAAGGTGGTATGCAAGATTACAATTATTTGACAAGGTACAGTATAGATATGAACTTGTGATTAAATATAGCTGGACTCAGCAGCTCAGTTGGTTAGAGCGACGCACCGGAATTGCAAGTTCGATTCCACACTCATACACATCCTACCAAGCATGAACCCAGATGCAATCGCTGATACTTGAAAATACCTGGAAATTGCACACTTTAGTATATGTTCGTTATTGTTCACTCGGTAATATGGTGATATGCTATTGTTCACTCTAATTCAGTATATTTCAAAGTTCATATACTAGTATTAGAACTGTACAATACTAGTATTGTTCGGTGCTGAATTGATATAAACGAGTATACCCCATGTTGGGGGGGGGGGGAGAAATATTTTCGGAACATCAATTCCCAGGGAGGGGGGACTGTGTCGTACACCATATGTTCATCAACCATAAATCGCTCTTAGCTAATAAAATCGTGGTGTGTGCACTCACATTTATCTGATCAAAGGCAATTCCAGCTTTTAGTTTATGCATGCAGGGGGGGGATGGGAATTAGTAAGGTATCATATTGCTGATTATGCTGAAGAAATAAAAATTGCAGCAGTGTAAACGCAGAGTGATAGCTTATAATTGTAAATATTGAAATATTTCGGTTGTTTCGGCAGTTTTTATTGAAATTTTTCAGCATAATAAGCAATATTATACCTTACTTCCCGTCACACCCAGCGCGCATAAATTGAACGTCTCGTAATTTTCGCTTTGAATAAATTTTAATTTCTTTCCTGTTCTTGAATTAAAGCAATTGTTTTGAAATCACGCTGGAATTAAGTTGTTGCAAATATCCAAATGCAAGCAAACTTCAAAAGGAATGGCAGGACCACAAGCCAGCATTAATATCGTACATGAAACAGGTCCACAAGGGGATCAAAGGGGTTGTTACGGATCGTTGTGGTAGCGGTATTGCTGGTGCTGAAATCAAAGTTAACCTAAATGAGAAATCCATTTTCAGCGGTAAGGGTTAAGTTTTGGAAAGAGGTATTCTTGGTTAGACACGTAACGAGGTACAATCTCCCTAAGAATCTTAATAGTTAGCAAGGAAGGTTCACTCCGATCCGACATCATCAATTTTTCATCTCACTTTGAAATTTTTTTTGAAATTCCATACATACATGTATGGTAAAAACAACATTTTCGAAACGCCGTAACCCTCGCTTGAATGTCCAAATATCATGACATTTTCGATATAAGACTAATTGAGCATGAATATTTCAATATGTTAGACTAATTTTTGATCTAGGCAAAAAAGTAAATTCCCGTGAAGAACTTATTAAAATTAGTAAAATTGCAAAATTTGGTCAGTGGGAATACGAAATGTTGTAAGACGGAAAATAAAGCCTTGCGAAGCTTGCATATTATGTATATGATTGTATTACATGCGGAGATTGTTATCATTTTTGAGCCGAAAATAGTAACAATTCCGCACGTAATACAAACATATACAAAATTTGCAAACTTTGCAAGGCTATATTTTCCAAGCTTTATGTCATTTCGTAACCAAATTGTGCAATTTAACTAATTTCATTATGTTCTTTTTAGCTGTGGCGTTTGATTTCCTTCTCTTTACTTAGATTAAAATTTAGTCTAACATGCAAGTTGTCCATTCTGGGCCGGTCCATTCCTGCCAAATATGAAGATGAAAAACTCGGATCGGAGAATTATGTGAAAATTTATTTCAAACCTGTTGTCATAAACTTTTCAAGTGCCCTTGAGCCTGATTTTCAATTTAAGTACTTTTCAAGGAGTTCAAGATCATTGAAAATTGTAGAGTAACTTCTTTGATAGATTTTTGTTTTCTTACTTCGTTTTGAAGATATTTCATTTTGTATGATATGCAAAGGACCAACTTCCTACGTCACATATGCACAATGATTTAGCCCTAAAAGCTGTATATCTTTAATACGACAGTAGAAAACCTACATGGGTGTTGTTGTTAACAAATCTCGTGCTCGTCATTCATTTTTAGCGAATTTATTTGATAGTGAACAAAAATTATATAACATTTTAAAGTAAGTCATTATGCATGCATGTGTTTTGTGTGACATAGAAAGTTGGTCCTTTGCATATCAAACAAAGTGAAATACCTCCAAAACGAAGCAAGAAAACAAAAATCTGTCAAAGCAGGCACGGATTTTCTGGGTGGGGGGTGGGGGAGGGGGGGGAGGGGTGTGCACCCCC